AAGTGTTCAAATAAGACTGGGTGGTATTTTTGAGATGGAATTGATTTCCGTGGCAGTGTCCACACACAACTGAGTGGCACAGACATAATACATACTTCATCTGGAACTGTGAGCTGTGCGGGGTGTTTTCGTGAATAAAAAGCATCTTGTGTGGGCTGGGATTATAACTCAGTTTGCTTAGCATGAGGTCCTAGGTTCATTCCCCAGCACACACACAAAAAAAAAGATTAAAAAAAGAAATCTTGCATTTTATATGGTCACAGTGTATATTTTATGAAAGCTTCACATTTTTTATTTTGATTTTTGTCAACTTCACTGTCTCATCAGTCTCCCAAGAATATTGCCACTCTGATTTTGGTCAACTAAGGTGCTCATTAAAGGGGTAGGGAGTGGATGCCAACTGCAATACAAATTCAGTTCATGAAGCAAGCTGTTTTCTTACAAGAATCAGCATCAGCTGTCCTTGCTGATTTATTTTCTGACTAATTCTGCTAATATTATTATTTGCCTCACTCTTCGCTTTCTTACACACTGTGCCCCAGAAGAGGAGGAAAAAAAAAAACATAATCATTGAGCAGCCAGAAAGTTGTTACTCAGGCAATCAGAAAAGAAATATTACGAGATGGACATCTTACCTGTCTGTGATATGAGTAATGATTCCCACCCAGGGGCACTGATCTCTTCTTTTTTTAAACTCTTAAAGTTCTTGGTGTAGGCAGCACACAATTTAGTGATGGCGTTTAAGCTCTCTCCTTTTCCCCAAGATAATTTGTTCTTAAGGCACTATGTCAGAGATGGAAGACTGGCCTAGTCCTTTTGCCTTTTACTTCCCCAAATCCATTATGCTCTCGAAAGTTATGGAAAAGAGCTTCCTTTTATAGTTAGATTGCTGAGGGCAGGGGGTGGTTAATACAATAGGCCACCTATACTCATGGCCTATTCAACTTTCAGAAACCCCAAATCAATTTAAATAGACCAAAATTTAATACCTGATGATAGACTTTATTGTTTCCTAAGCTTCCAGGAAGGCCAATAACTCTTGTTGTCTCAGTGAAGTTGCAAATAATTCAAGACTGGAGAAAGTAAAGGCCAGAGCCAGCTGGACGTGCATGTCCCATAAATGTTGGTTGACTTGAGCCAGTTCCAAAATTCTAACAGATTCAATCACATTGCTCAGTGTCTTGGATCATAACCTATTAGTGGCCTATGGTCTTCTTTTTTATTCCTATTGATCGTTTTAAATGTTTATGATTCTAACCCACAATTTCCTCCCTTCCCTCCCCCCACCACCTCCTTCACCATGTTGAATGGGTATTAGAGTAGAAAATACTGTGCTTTGGCCTGGCACCATGGTGGTGCACGCCTGTAATCCCAGCCTCACAGGAGGCTGAGACAGAAGGATCCTGAGTTCAAATCCAGCTTCAGCAATGATGAGGTGCTGAGCAACTCAGTGACACCCTGTCTCTAAATAAAAAAATAAAAAATAGGGCTGGGGATGTGGATCTGTGGTTGAGTGCCCCTGAGTTCAATCACTGGTACCCATCATCCCCGCCAAAAAAGAAGAAAGAAAAGAAAAAACTGCTTTGAAAAATAGGATACTTGGGGCTGGGGATGTGGCTCAAGCGGTAGCGCGTTCGCCTGGCATGCGTGCTGCCCAGGTTCGATCCTCAGCACCACATACAAACAAAGATGTTGTGTCCGCCGATAACTAAAAAATAAATATTAAAAAAGTGTCTCTCTCTCTCTCTCTCTCTCTCTCTCTCTCCCCCCCCCCTCCCTCCCTCCCTCTCTCTTTTAAAAAAAAATTGAAAAATAGGGTACTTTACCAAAGAGTTTCTGATATCATAATATTAGAATAATATTAGAGCTGTAATTAAACAATGGATCATTGAAACTGGGCAAAGTGGTGCATGCCTGTAATCCCAACCTCTCAGGAGGCTGAGACAGGAGAATTGCAAGTTCAAAGCCAGCCTCAGCAAAACTGAAGTGCTAAGCAACTCAATGAGACCCTGTCTCTAAATAAAAATATACAAAATAGGGCTGGGGATGTGGCTCAGTAATTGAGTGTCCCTGAGTTCAATCCCTGGTACCAAAAAAGAAAAAAAAAAGATAATTGACAAAACTGTGGGAATCAAAATACCTAGACCCATGTTCAGAGTTACCAAGATGCCAGTAGTTTCAGTGAGGACAGAAAAGCAAGCCAAAAGAAAATCAGGAAGGTAGGGATCTGGATCGAGTCCATGACCAATTTAAAATAAGCAAGACTGCCTTCGGAGATACTGAAATCTTTAACATCACATTGAAAATATTTTCAGAATGTTTCAGAACACAATGCAACGTAAATAAAATTCTGATTTTAAGTGGAATTAAACAGTAGGAATACATTGCACAGTGAAGGTTGCCAGACTGTAGGATTTGTGGAGCAGGAAAATTAAATAGAATAATTAATTGGAGGATTACTCAGAGTTGCCAGCTCCTTACTTTTGCCACAGCCTGCTACCTCTGTCCTCCCTACTAAGATTCTATGGGTAATGAGGTTCCCATGTTAGACCTGAGCCAGAAAACGGTTTGTTTAAACATTTCAGAAGACACACAAAGAAAAATTTATTGTCGCCATGTGGATGTTACTGGTTGACTTTCTCATGTATAAGATTCCAGCTCTTCTCAGCCCTAGGTCCCCTGGGTTGACCTCCACCAAGTGACCCAGAGCCAGCATGGATGTGAAGCTATGTTCTGGACTGCTACCTCCAGAGCCATTATTTCCTTGACAGTGTTAGTTTGTTCTTGCTTTTCTTACAGGGATGCAAGAAAATATTAACCCATGATCTGGTTCCTGGGACATTTTATGTTTTCATGTTGTTGTGCCACATTCTTTTTAAATTGTCTTCTACTTTCAAAAGTGTGATCTCAAGTCTCTCTCACACCAAGCAACTATGGTAAAGGGCAAACAAAGCCTTCATCTAAAATCATCATTTCACGTAATGAAAAAGGTTGTTCAAGAGCAGACGTAGGAAGAATTTAATTGAAGATTAAAAGACAGAACTTTACATTAGAAAGATATAACTTTATGAAAATTTGTCTACATTATTCTGATTTTATTTTTTTATCCTGCTACCATAGACAGGGGGATATTGCATTCTAGACTCACTAAGGACCAGAATGTAGAAACCATGGTTGAACACTATAGCATTGGTAAACATTTGCTAGAAGATAAATTGAAAATTTTTCTAGTCAGATTAAGGTTTAGCTCCACTTTATTTTTGAGCATCTATGGTGCATGCCAAATCACCACATGAAGTTCTACTCAATAAGTTATTCTTTCATTCATTTAATGAACATTTATAGACTACTTATTCATTGTCATATACTGAATCGGGCACTTGGAATGTAAAATTATGTAAATATAGAATACAAATATAACAAAGGTTAATCAAAATGCAGAATGGAGAAAATCTGAGGTAGCAAAAGAAAATGGAAGTTAAAGAGCTATGTGTTATTGTCCCTGCTGGGCTTTTAGAAAGTTTTATGCCTGTGGGCATTTAGTATCCTTTCCTGTGAATGAGTATGACAAGGCATATTTGTCTTTTCTAGTATTTGTTTTGAAAACTAAGTATAATAGTGAAAATTATCTGAAGATCAAAGGTACACCACATATTGTAAGAAATGACATGATGATGTTGTAACTCATTTAAACTGTGATTTCTCCTACTACCTATTTTCACGGTAATAGACATAATGTATCCTTCATCTTTCTTAAAACCTTCAGAAAGGGATTCTTACACTAGTGACTTATTGAAGTAACCTTTGAAAGTATTTCTGGTATCACTGTCCACACTTCATGCTACTGATGAGCAAACTGAATACAAAGTAATCACACAGCTGCTTAGTGGTAGAACCTGGATTGCTAGTTCTGAGATCCCCCACTTGTCTGCACTGGGCACTTGTGGTTTATTTCACATTAGGAATTATGCACATGTGTAGCACATTTTCATCTCTAAGGGCATCAAGGCAGCTCTCAGCCGCCTGGTTCTGGAGGATAGAGGTGAGTAGGATACCAAGGACAGATGGCTCAGAGGCTCCAGAGGATTCTGTCTCTTCTAATCACTTGTTTTATTTGTCCTACTGACCATAGCCCTCGATGACCTTCTCCTCTCCTTTGACCTTTCTAACCCTCAATCTCCTGTCCTCTTGACACCATCCTGATGGAACTGATCAGTGCTCTGATGGCAGTTTTGCCTGCTGTTGACCTTGACCTATCAATCTGACCTTGTAATAACAATGCTTGACCCTTGATAAGAAGGAATAACTTAAATTGAACTGCCTGGCCTGAGAACTTTGAATTTAATTCTGCTGTTTTGGCTTGTGTAGCATTTTGGAAAAATCAAAATTTTAATGCCTTGATTGTAGACTTGCACGTTCTAATATGCCTTGTATTCCACCATTGCCTACTGAGTCACACCAGCCTTTTCTATACATCTCTCTCGTCTATTCCTGAAGGCATTTGAGAGGTCGCTGATAGCCTAGCATCTTCAGGCAGGTCTGGGTTCCTATGGGCAGACCACTTGAATTTTTCAGCTTACAATGAGTCTCAAAATCCAAACTATTGCCTGTAGCATTTCTCTTACTGGTCAGAGTTAAGTACTGATGTGGCCTGGATCATAGGATTCTGTATTTCATGGTGAATCTTAGGAGGTCCAAGAAAGTGTAGGCAGATCAGGGCAGTCCATAGGAAAAAAAAAAAAAAAAAAACAGTTCAAACAAACTCATTTAAAATATATCATTGTGTTGTGCTTGAAAATCTTGAAGGAAAAATTTGTTTTTAAGTGTCTGGGTTTTGGGGGCAGAAATGCCTAAACTAGCATATGAGGAAATAATATTTGGATAAACACAGAAGGGTTCCTTTATCATATTGGTTATAGGATTCTCCCAAGAATGACCTTTTCCCAGAGAAGGTGAAAGGTTATACAACAGTATGCTTTCTGTTGGCCCAATGTGATTTTTCACTTGAGTCCTCTTCAATGCAGGTTGCCAATTTGGCCTGTTCCATCTCCAACAACGAGGAAGGGGTGAAATTAGTCCGAATGGCAGCCACACAGATTGATAGCCTGTGTCCTCAGGTAAGCCTCCAATATTTTATCTTATAAGTCAGTCAATGACCTGATACTCAGGACTCCCTACACTCAAACCCTCATATCCCTTCTGTCCTTGTCTAAATTTCTTCTAACTGGATTATGTTACCCACCAATCATGGGCTCTTTAAAGTTCTGCCTTTCTTAAAAAGAACTTCTAACTATTCCATGTATTATTGTGGCAATTATTGTCTTTTCTACTCATATTGACTGATTCTGTTTGTTTTGGCTCATTATTTAAATGCTCACTGTCTATTTACCTTGTCTCAACAAGTAAATTATAAGCTTGCACAGGCAGAAAGGAAGAGTTATATTTCCTACTTATCTGCATTAAATAAATAGGAACTTGTCCAGTAAATTCCTCTTGAAACCTGAGGCTAATTACTGTATCTTAAAAAGAAGAAGCAAAACAAAAACGAATGGTAGTTGATAACCTACTGTATCTTTTGTGTTTGGCATTGTCCTGAACACTGACAACCCATGTATCTGTAGAATGTGCAGAGCACAATGTTTCAATATGGTCTTTCACCTGCTTGCTCCCCTCTTGGAGGAATGTGGTCATCATGTCCCTGGATTGTTTCTAACAAATAGGTCATCAATGCTGCTCTCACACTGGCTGCCCGGCCACAGAGCAAAGTTGCTCAGGATAACATGGACGTCTTCAAAGACCAGTGGGAGAAGCAGGTGCGAGTGCTAACTGAGGCTGTGGATGACATCACCTCGGTGGATGACTTCCTGTCTGTCTCAGGTAATCGCAGGCACCTTACCAGGCAGCTGGAAGAGGGAACAGGATGAGATAAGAAATATCTCACAGATGTCATGGGTCTTGTGATTCAAGTGCTCTCCTTGGCCCTTTGAGCAATGGATCATCTCTGCAAATGTGATTATAATACCCTCTTGAAAATTTTTATTTCTAGATACTGAGTCAAGTCATCAGAGGGGGAAAAACACAACTTTCTGATAAAGATGTCAGAGCCTGAACATATTATTTAAAGAGGTTTAGATTCCCTTTTGGTTTTTAAGCAGGAGGGATTTGGGGGTACATCTGAATCATCGTGTTAAAAAAGGTTACAGAGTATCAGATTGGCCTATGTGGTCTATGTCTTAAACACGGGCAATCAGTTATTCCAATTTGGCTATCTTAAGTGGGTCATTTTTCCAATAAGGGAAGGTCTGTGACGAGTCAGGTAGAAATATCAGGAACAGAATTAAGCCACTAGAAGGCACAGGAAAGCCATCAAGGCTCTGAGCATCTGTTAGGTTGCATAAGGAAATGAGTAAAAGGAAAGGGAACTAGTCATCACTATAATTGTAACTTTCTTCTTTGCAGTGAAGCCAGACTGCCAGGGTGCTAGCAGATTTGAATAACTATGAAGTCAATTTGACTTTTAATGGGACTCATCTTGCTGTTCAAGATCAGGTTACCAACCAGCAAAGGGGCCTTTTTTTTTTTTTTTTTTTGCAAACACCAGTTCACTGTAGGGAGGAGGTAACTAGAAACAGGAGTTATCATGAGGCATTAAAAGAACCAGGTGACCCTTGAAAACTCACATTGGCCAGGTGTTGGTTCTGCTGACAGTTTTGTAGAGCTCACTCCTGCCTAGCTCCTCAGCACAAGACACATCACTGCTGGTAGGAGCCAGGCCTAAGGGACCTCTGACTACAGCCATGCAGAAAGATTTCTGGAAGGAGGCTTCCATGTTTGGGCACTTTTCCTATTTGCCATCTTTCCTTTTCATGAAGAAACAGACAGTGAATTATATTAGACACTTGTTTGGGGGGGCTTGTCTGAGAGCAGTGTAGTTGAATCTATAGATCTGATTATCCAAAAGCCAAGTTTTCACTGATGGAGAACAAGATGAGGAAAAAAAAAATGAGCTACCACGTGCATCGGGTCTGTAATTTGCTGTATGCTTTAATTCTCACCAAAATTCTAATATAGATATTCGTATACTAAGTCTTCCTTTGAAAAAACGAAGCCAGTGAAAGGGGAAGTAACTTGGCAGAGATGGTATTGAATCTTGATCACTTTTTTTCAGAAACTACACGGTTCTCTATAAGTTAAGATTAGAAGGGAAATTTCTTTCCCTTGGTACTTTCTACTTTCTGCTTTTCTACTTTCACTTCAGATCCCTTCTCCCACCTCTGGTATTCTCATTCTGATTTCTAATCTTGTTCAGAAACCTGTCTTGTTTTTTCTTCCCAAGGTGCTTGGTTTTTGATGACTTGTCAAAGCAGCTCTTCATTTAAATATCGCCCTATCTAGGGGTTGGCTGGTTAAAAAAAAAAAAAAAAAGAACTCCACATGTTACCATTCCTTGAGTTTTTGCTTTGCTAACGGCTGAGCCCTCATACTGTAAAAAATGCCCCCCAAATACTTTTCTCGTAAAGTGCTTAGAAATTGTTTATGTAGATATGTTGAGGATTCAGGTGCTAGGGAATAGAAAGTTAGCTACCGATACTAAGTCTTCTTCTAGTGTCTACTCATTATTTATGAAGGTGACTGCAGGGTCCCCAGTTGGTGGCTGGCAGGCTCCCCACCCAACCTCAAACCTCACATAGCCAGCCTGATAGCTCCTGGAAATCTTCCTCTGAGTCCCCTTCAAAGTACAAATACATAGATAATATCCATACATTACCTTTTATTCAGAGAGGGATCATTTGGAAACTTAAAACTTTCCCAACTTCTCTTTTTCTTCAACATGTACAAAAATTTCTTGGGGGGGTGAGGTAAGGAGAAGCAATGTGAGCAGGCCTTATCTCAGGCTTTTTGAATACTGCAAAGCTTTTCTTAATTTCCTTCTCCCAAGCCCTGCCTCTGTCACCTTTCTCCCTGGCGTTCCTTTGTGCATCTCATTATTACCAGCAACAAGAACAGCTTTGGCTCTGGCAGATAACACCCTTGTGGTCCAACCCTAGTTGTACAAATGCCATGGCAGGCCATGAACAGATGCTGTCAGGGAGCCAGGTTGGCAGGGCCTGCTGGGGCATGCCTTCAGAGTTGACAATCAGGCAGTGGGCACCTTTCTACAGATACAGCCTGGCAAAAAAAAAAAAAAAAAAAAAATGACACAACCCACTCTTTCTGTTGCTAGGCTGTGGACACAGCCAAATAGTTGGGAAAGTGTTTTTCCTCTGATCTTTGAGATAGAACCAAACATTTTGCATCAGTATATTGCAAGTTTGGCCTAGGAGATGGTATTTTGGAACGACATGAATGGAATTGTATGTATCAGTTTCTTCTTGGGGACTATCTATTTCAGCCTGAAACTCTATTTTAAAAAATACGAAAAAAAAATTTTTTTAAAGACTATAGTTGTTTTCTTTCTTTTCTTCTTTCTTAAGGCTACCTGAACTTGTATATCTGAGTGTTTAATTTGTTCAGCTGAAATGCAACAAATTTGGGAGCAATGATGCTAGCTATTAACATTACAAGAGCAGAACCAATTTTCAGTGTGGCCTGGGCTCATAAAAATGTGAAATAGCTGCATTAGAACATTTAAACCTTTCCTACTGGGCAAAAGCTACATTTTTTAATAGTGTTTTAAAATGAGCACCTTGGCATTAGCCATGTGACAGTTTAATTCTTGGGTTTGGCTCACAAAATTATAGAAATCTAAGATTTGAAAAAACCCTTAACTCAATCCCATAATATCCAAGATTTGTTTTGTTTTTTTCTGTTTTTCCATTTATTTTTTTCTTTAGGATCTTGAATTTGTTTTTCTTTAAAAAATTCACACAGTGACTTTAGTTTAGAATTTAGAAATGGGAGCTTTGTGCTTTATAAAAATCAGGTAGTTTGGTCATCATTGATTAATTAAAATTTTTTTTAAATAACATATTTTCAAAAGGTTGCAAAAATCCAAGGACATTTATTACAAAATATGTTGCAGTCAAATATTTTATGACATGTTTATGCCCCTTGCTTGATATTAGAATGCACCATCGCATGTGCCTGGCAGTTTTTCCTAGCAATGTAATCTCTAGAATTATATTGAGTTTATTACTACCTTCACTTTTTTTTCCTTTCTTTTTGGAATAGCATTCCTCTATCTCCTTACTTTAGGAGGAATTATTCTTCTTCAAAATACCTTAGAATAAAAATGTGAAATAGATTGCTCCTCCCTCCCTCCCCATAGACGCTTAACCACTAAGCCACATTACCAGCCATTTCTATTTTATTTGAGACAGGGTCTTGCTAGGTTCCTTTGGGGCCTCTATAAGTTGCTGAGGTTTGCTTGAACTTGCAGTCCCCCTGCTTTAGTCTTCCAAATTGCTGTGTTACAGGTGTGCACCACCATGCCTGCTGGATTGCTCCTTTTTTCTCTTTTAAGAGAGAGAGAGAGAGAGAGAGAGAGAGAGAGAGAGAGAGAGAGAGAATTTTTTAATATTTCTTTTTTAGTAGTTTTTTTCCCCCGGCGACACAACATCTTTGTTTGTATGTGGTGCTGAGGATCGAACCCGGCCCGCACGCATGCCAGGCGAGCGCGCTACCGCTTGAGCCACATCCCCAGCCCCAATTGCTCCTTTTTAATGGACATGTTTATCCAATATCTTTTCCTTGATTATCTGCTATCTGTACAATGCTTTGAGGAATGAAAATATGAATCAAGAATAGATTTTGCCTTCAAATAATTCATTGCCCTTCTTGATTAAAAAAAATTATATACATATATACCCAGTCCTGTTTAGAAACACACTGATCTGAGGGTGCAGAAGTTATCTCATACACTCTAAGAGTCCATATATACAGTAAGCATAGTCTTCTGACCAAAGATTTCATGTCTATATGAACAGTTCTGGCTATTTTTCAAATACAATGTTAATGCTTTGGTGACCAAAATGCAATTTATTTTAAAGTATTCTCAACCCTATTGGCTTTTACATGTATATCATCCATTAATATAACAACTCTCATAAGAGAACTATTACTTGTTTTTCAATAAAAGGGGACCTGTAATTGGGGAAGCTTGGGAAATCCTAAGTATACTATCCTAATATTTCAAAAGAATAAATTGACTTGAAAAATTAGTCAATATATGTTTTTGGCATTTTTTCCTGTGTCTTCTATTCTATTTCATTGGTCTTCATGTTTATTTTGGTGCCAATACTATGTTTTTGTTACTATAGCTCTGTAGTATAATTTGAGATCTGGTATTGGGATGCCTCCTGCTTTGCTTTGCTTGCTAAGGATTGCTTTGACTATTCTGGGTCTCTTTATTTTTCAAAATGAATCTTATAACTTTTAACTTCTTATAACTTATAGCTTTTTCTCCTTCTATGAATGTCATTGGAATTTTGATGGGAATTGCATTGTATCTGTATAGTGCTTTTGGTAATATGGTCACTTTGACAATATTAATTTTGCCTATCCAAGAACATGGGAGGTATTTTTATCTTGTAAGTTCTTCTTTAATTTAATTTCTTTAATTATATATATAAAATATGTATAGTCTTCACATCTTTTATTAAATGACTGATTCCCAAGGTTTTTTTTTTTTTTTTTTTTTTTTTTTTGCTTTGTTTTGTTTTGAAGTTATTGTGAACGGGATAGCTTTCCTAATTTCATTTTCAGCAGATTCATCATTGGAGATTAGGAATACAATTGATTGATGGGTGATGATCTTGTGCCCTGCTATTTTCCTGAATTCATTTATGAGTTCTAAAAGTTTTCTGGGGGAGTTTTTTGGGTCTTCTAAATATAGGATCATGTTGTCAGCAAACAGGGATAATTTGGGTTCTTTTCCTGTTTATCTCCCTTTAATTTCCTTCCCTTGCCTGGTTGCTCTGGCCAGAGTTTCAAGGACTGTATTGAATAGGAGTGGTGAAAGTAGGCATCCTTGTCCTGTTCCTGTTTTTAAAGGAAATGCTTTCAGTTTTTCTCCATTCAGAATAATGTTCACCTTGGGTTTATCATATATACCCTTTACAGTGTTGGTTCAGGAACTTACTTTCTTAATTAGACTCCTGAAATACAAGAAGTAAAATAAAAAAATCAATGAGTGTGGTGGCATCAAATTAAAAAGCTTCTTCACAGCAAAGGAAACAATTGAGTGTGAAGAGAAAAGCCAAAGTGTGTGAGAAAATCCTTACCCCCTGCCACCTCAAATAGGGCATTCATATCCAGGACATACAAAGAACTCAAAAAACATAAAACATAATAATAAAAACCTAATCAATAAATTGGCCAAGTAACTGAACAGACACTTCTCAAAAAGAAGAAATACAAATTATCAACAAATATATGAAAGATGTTCAATATCTCTAGCAATTAGAGAAATACAAATTAAAACTACATTGAAATTTCATCTCACTCCAGTAAAAATGGAAATTATCAAGAATACAAGCAACAATAAATGTTAGCAAGGATGTAGGAGAAGAGGTACACTCATGCATTGCCGGTGGGACTGGAAATTGGTGCAACCACTGTGGAAAGCAGTATGGATATTCCTCAGAAAACTTGGAATGGAACCACCATATAACCCAGCTATCCCACCCTTGGGAATATATCCAAAGGACTTAAAATCAACAAACTACAGTGATGCAACCACATCACTTCACAATAGCCAACATATATAGCCAACCTTGGTGCCTTTCAACAGATAAAGCAAATGTGTTGTATATACACAATGGAGTTATTACTTAGCCATAAATAAAAATGACTTTATGACATTTGCTGGTAGATGGATAGAACTGGAGACTATCACGTAAAGTGAAATAAGCCAGGCCCCAAAAATCGAAGGTCAAAAGTTTTCTCTGCTATGCAGAAAGTAATCCAGAATAAGAGGGGGTAGGGATAAATAAAAAACAATATAAGATCAGTGGAGTAGACAAATTGGAATAAAGGGAAAGGAGGAGGGAGGGACTAGAGAAAGACACTGGAATAAATCTGACCTAACTTTCCTATGTGTATATATGAATACACCATACTGAATCTCACCATTATATATCCACAGACACTAATTTAAAAAAAATAAACTACAAAGAAATAGCAGAAATATCACTAAAATAGAGGGAAGAGAACAGGGAGAGGAAGGAGTAAAGGGAAAGGAGAAGAGCTGGGGACTGAATTAGAAAATTATATTCCGTGCTTTTAAATTATGTCAAAATGAACCCCTATTGTCATGCATATTTAAAAGAACCAATAAAAATTATTCAATTAGTAAAGTTAATAAGGTTAATATTTTATTCACAAGAAATCACTAACTTCTCTAACCACTTAACAAATTAGTTGATTGAGCTGATTAAAAAATGTTTTTGTTACCATGGACTTTCGGCCTATGCTGGTTTTTCTCCAAATAAAAGCTCATTTTTTTCTTGTCTTTTAATTAAAGTAGATGTATATTTCCATTTGGGGGAATAGTTGTTGTTTTTAAGCCCTACCAATTAATCTTAATATAGTGGGACATGAGTGCGCTTCTTCAAATTTTTAGAATTATTATTAAGTCCAGAGAGATTAATAACTGATATAATTAACAGAGTCCTCACTGTTTTACATTCGATTCCAAAATACTATCTTTTAAAAAAAAATGCACAGAAAAGCAGTGGCTATGTCTATTCTATTCTTAGAGGAAGGTGTTATTCAGAGAAGAGGGCACCCAGGTGCGAGGTTTAGGCAGGAAGCCCTTTCCAGCTGCTCCCTTCCAGGGGCCAGGGCACAGTATAATTGTCTCAAGGAATCCAGCAGGGCAGTAGAAGAGGCTTATTTCAATTTTTTTTTTTTTTGTATGTAAAATCCTTTGCCACGTTTTAGTTGAGTGAACATTTTCCTCAGGTTTCCTTTTGAGGTGAATTCATCTGTTCTAATCCAAAATCTCATGAAAGGATAGTTTTTAGAAGTTCCTTAATAAAAGTAAAAACTTCTTAAATCTATATTTTCACAACTCTGTGTGTGTGTGTGTGTGTGTGGTTGTTTTGTTTGTTTGTTGTTTGTTTTTTGTTTTTGTTTTTTTGGTTTGTTCGACTCAGAAAATTATCAGTCTTTTGAAAGTATCACTTTTTTTGAGTTTAAGAAAGCTGGATACTTGGATTTAAATACTTTGTTGTTTTTCTAATTTAATTTATATTTGAAATTAAAGAACTAGAGAATATAGAAATCAGAAACTTACAATGGGTGAGAAAATCAAATTGTATAAGGTTACAATGGAATATTTATGAAAAGCAAATTATACCTTCCAATTTTCTACCCAATTTCCAAATGAACAAATATTCCCTCTGAGTGCTGGATTTAATGAAAGTGGGAGGGATCCCTAGGGTTTGCTAGGTCCCTTTTCAACTCTCTTTCTTTGAGAACTTTAAACTCAGAACTAGTCCTGGAAACTTCTTAGATATATAATAATGTAATAATTCATTTAATTCTCTAACTATTCACTGTATTTAGCAATTATAATTTTTAAAGATTATCCTATTACTGAGGACCATTGGTAAACTTGTTCTGTTTAACTACTTAAAGCATGTGTGTTTGTGTCTAAATCTATTCATATGGCTATAAAAATATCATAAATGAGGTTGCTTATAAACAACAAAATGTACTTCTCACAATTCTGAAGGCTGAAAGTCCAAGATAGAGGTGTCCTGTGAAACCCTGCTTCCTTACAGACTTTTCAGTAACCTTATGTGACTTAAAGGGGTGAAGGAGGTCTCTAGGGTCTCTTTTATAAAGACACTAATCCTGTTCATGAGAGTTCTGTCTTCATAACCTCATCACCTGCCAAAGTCCTTACCTATTAGTACCAGATCTCGTACAGTATGAATTCATCACTCAGACCATTATACATCTCTGATTTCTACATTCTCTAGTTCTTTAATTTCAAACATAAATTAGAAGAGAAAAAAATAAAATATTTAAATTTATATTTAGAATTTTAACATTAATTTGGGGGAGGTGTGTGTGTGTGTGTGGGGGGGGTGTGTGTGTTTTCAGCTTAAAGTGCTTTTCTTTTTTTACATAGAATACCAAACTTTTTCTTTCTTCTTTTTTTTATTTTTGTTTTTGTTTTTGTTTCATTTCAGTGGTACTGGGGATTGAACCCAGAAGCCTTCTATCACTGAACCACACCCAGCCCTTTTATTTTTTATATTTTATTTGAGACATGGTCTCACTAATTTACTGAGAATTTGCAATGTTCCTTCCTGCCTCTGGAGTTGCTGGAACTATAACAGGCACCACCACGCCCAGCAGAATACTAGGCCTTTTAAACATTTTTTTTTAGAATTGTGCTGTTCAAAGGACATAATTACATACATGGTAGATAAAACATTGTTCCCTTGTTAGACTGTGAGATCAGGTGTTTTCTCTATGCCAGTAGAGAATGAAACTGCTCCTTCTCCTACATGTTATCTTCGTTGGGTAATGACAGGAGATGAGAGAGATGCTTGCCTTGACTGAAATCTGATGCAATCAGCCACAAGATTGGATTGGATTTTAATTGTGAGGGAACTCTATGATCTTCACCTCATGAATTTTCCCATTGCATATACCTGCTATATGACATGACTTTAAAATACTGGGTGATATTTATTCTGTCCCATCCCTTAAATCTTTCTGTCATAAACACACACACACACACACACACACATACACAGAGTGAAACAAACATGTAATCAAAGCTTCACTCGGTTCAAGTTTAGAAAGGATTCTACTAGGTCAGATTACTTGATGTTGGCTACCACAACAACTCCTACAAGACCCTCTGGGCAAAAAGTCTCAATCTTTGAAACAAAGAAAGGGCTAGCTATTCTTTATATCAGTGACAATGAAAGTCTCATCCCCAAAGTAGCAGCATTAACATCACTGGGAACTTCACAGAAACTCTGTCTTGGGCCCCACATCAGAGCTACTGAATCAGATATCCCAAAAGTAGCACAGAGCAGTCTGTGTGATGCTGCAAGCCTTCTGGCTGATGCTCTGGTTTTACAACTACTATTGTAATTATAAAGTATGCCCTTTAAGTACCATTTCAGTGTTATTAGGCATGCACTGATATATGCAAGGTGAGGACTCATGATAATTGTTGAGTTAATTTTAGATTGGCTATTAAGTTCTGAGTGATATAAAGCCATATAAATGTGTATGTATGCTCCCCACAGAAAATCACATCTTGGAGGATGTGAACAAATGTGTGATAGCCCTCCAAGAGGGGGATGTGGATACCCTGGACCGGACTGCGGGCGCCATCCGGGGACGGGCAGCTCGGGTGATACACATCATCAATGCTGAGATGGAGAACTATGAAGCTGGGGTTTATACTGAGAAGGTGCTAGAAGCTACAAAATTACTTTCTGAGACAGGTAAGCATGGATATTGGATCTGTCCAAAATGTTAATGCCATGATTAATTTCCATATCTGAATAAATCTGTTGTATTATTCTTAGAGACCTTTTTGTTTTTAAATTTTGCACATGTCATTGTAATCCTTTCTAAACTTGAACAGAGTGGAAGCTTTGTTTACATGTTTGTTTGATTGTATGTTTTTTTTATTACAGAAAAAAATATAATTATTTTATTGCATTATTTTCATTGTGCAATATAAGAGATAGAGTACTCGAATGTTCTTGCTTCTTGAATTTGAATTTGAATAACTTAAGCCAATAGCAGTTTTATTACTTTTTATGTGTGTATCATTTTATAGTGTTCATATGTCATCTCATTTGATTCTTATAAGGACTTTATGAAGTAGGCAGAGAAACTTTGATTGTTTCCAATTATTGATGAGCAAATGGAGGTTCGAATTCGCTAAGAGACTAGAATGAGATGACAAAGCTTGAAAATAGTTCCGATGTGATTGGAAGTTGTCATCTGAAACTTGAAAACCATTTTTCCATCTCTTGCTTCAGAGGACAAAGTCTTAAGGGGAAACGCTGGACAGTGGGTGGGAAGTAGCATAGATTGTACATGACTAGGACATGCTCCCAAAAAAGGAGGTGATGGCTGCTGAAGAAGGCTGGACTGTCAGCAGACTCCTTGACATGTCCTCCTCAAGGGTGTGTGCGTACTGGGGACTCACTGCTGCAGTAAGGAACAGTTACTCAGGGGAGCCTATCAGAGTGCTCAGGTGCATTGGGATAGAAAAACAACTCATTTCCACTGAGTTGGCAAAGCAATCTACTATTTGAAGAATGTCAAAGACTGGTCATCTTTCCTTTTATTAATTTAGATTTTGCTCTTGACTACAGTCTCTTGGCTTCAGAAGTCCCTTCTGCCTTGCATCTTTGCTTATGTGTGTGGGATGAGGGATGAGAACAGAGAGAATATTCCAAGAACAGGAAACTAGAGGATAGAAAAGGAGAACTTAAATTTATGTTGTATGGGGTTGTGAGCGAGTCATGAATTGGGTTGTAAGTATGTACAGAAGGGCCTCTGCCCTCGTGCCCTGAGGGGAGCCCTCTTGGATTTGTACATGGACTTTGGACATCACTATGCTTTTTAAACGTAGATGTCTCTGAAAGGTCACATAGAGCAGTGTTCCAAGTTCTGCATGAGAAGACATATTAGTGGAGATATGTTTCTTTCTATATGGATTTATCATTTAAAGACTTGTTTAGATATTTATTAGCCTGGAAATAGCAAGGTAAAATCAACTCATTTTCTCTGAAATATAAGACGATAGATTGTAATATCATCATAATGAGCACATGTAGAAATTGTTGCCGTTGAGAATTCTAGCAGACTTAGAATTTAAAATAATAATGAGAATAATAATATATCCATGCATTTTAATTAGCTGAGATTCAGTAAAGTTCTTTTTTTCAAATAGTCTTGCAATTACATTCAGTAGAGCAAACATAAGCAAATCATATAGTATTTCTTTCCTCAGATGGTGTTATAGTTTGTGTATGAGATGTATCCTGAAAAGCTCTTGTGTTGATGAAAGAATGTTCTGAGGTGAGATGATTAGATTATGAGAGTTGTGACCTAATCAGTGGATTTATCCATTGGGTGGATCAATAATGTGAATGGGTTGCTAGCTAATAGGCAGGAGGGTCATGGCTGGTGAAAGTAGGTCACTGTGGACATGTCCTTGGGTTATATTGTCCCTGCCTCCTCTCTCTCTCTCTCTCTTTCTGCTTCCTGACTGCCTTGAGCTGAACATTTTTCCTCTTCCATGCCCTTGCAACATGATGTTCTGCCTCAACTTGGGCCAAAGCAATGGAGTCAGCTGAACATGGACTGAACTTCTTAAACCATAAGCCAAAATAAACTTTTCCTTCTCTAAGGAGTTCTTGTCAGGTATTTTGATCACAGAGACAAAAATCTGACTAATAACACATTTGGGAAAAATAGAAGCAGGTATTTTACTCTTCAATTTAGAGACTTCTTTTTTAACCCTTGAAAGGAGATTCTGTCAAGTTTTTGTGATTCTTACCTGCTAGCTTGTCAGCTCTCTTCTCTTACAAAGTCTCAGCCTGGTGTGGTCTATCTAAAAATATAGTATTACTTGTTTGAGGCTGACCCTAAATAAAGAGTATAAGAGAAAAATAGAAGAATGGAAACACAAGTCTTGCTTACACATGACTGAGAGGAAGAAATTGTGGTAAATGAAAAATATAGAGCAAATTGCCAATTTATATGTGATTTGGTGCCCACAAAGAATTCAGGCACCATTCAGAAGACACATTTTTGTGTTTTCTCTTATTGTATCTTGGGTTACTTTAGTAAAAGGAGTGGTGTTTATGAGGTCAAAACCTTCTGAAAGGAAAGGTAATTGCTTAGTTGATTGAACTTTTAACATGATTTTCACCCAAACTCTAGGAGTGTAAATAATTTTCTAGTTGATTTTATTAAAAAAAAAAAATCCTCGGAGAAATAACCAATTCTTTCTGGATTGTGTTGTCACTAACCAAGACTTACCTCTTGTTCATTGTCAAACCATTTAGCATTCTCATCCCAATTCTTCCTCAAAATAGTTGGGCATTCTGGAAACTTTTCTAAGGAATTCTCCTTAGAGTGATATCTGCATTCCATTCCTAGGAGAATAGAGTGAATGAGTGAGAAATTTAGAATCTACTTTTCAGAATCTTTTGAAGGTAACTTGTGAAGTAACCAGATAGAAGAGATTGAAATAGTATTTATACAAAACTGTGAGAAATGATAAAAATAGGTGTCAAAGAAAAGTAGATGATATTGGGCTAAGAACTTACAAAGACATGTAAATTCTTTGGCCTCTTTCTCTAATCATTCTTCATTTCATAAACAAGAATATATTGCTTCTTTATAACTAAGTAGAGAGATTGCCACAGAAATGGAAACAAGCCACTAGCTTAACTAATTGCTAGTTAGAATTTCTGGTGAATAAGCTTGCACAGATCAAGGATATGAACTTTGAGGAAGACCACAGGATCAATCAATTACAGTAATACAAGGCTTCCTTGGTTAGTTCTAATGTGTGTCTATGCTAAGGAGATATATAGCCTCAAAATAAAAACTCCTGTGCATATGCTAAACCCTGTACTAATGCCAAATTTCTGCCTTTGGGTTAATATTTTATTTGAATTGATCACTTTTCTGTATAAACTTAGCAAATGTCATGAGAGTTACATTTGATTTGGGGGAGAGAACAAAGGCGTGGTAGGCAAGAAGGAGAAGACAAGGAGAAAGATGAGAAAAAAGAAAACAAATAAACTGTTATATGTTTTTTTTTTCTTTTTAAAATCTGAGTTGTTTGATTTAAGACCCTGAGCTCTGGGAGTTTTTAACCTCTGTGATACTGACCCTTTGGTCTGAGCAATTCTTTCTTGGGGGTTAGAGGCCTGTGCTTCCTGTGCATTGTAGAATGCTTAGATTCTGCCTCTACCCACTAGATGCTTGTAGCATCTGTTGCCTTTCCCACACTAAATTCTGATAATAAAAATTATCTCTAGACATTGCCAGATTCTTGTGTTGAGGGTGACAATACCCACTGTGAATCACTGGCCTAAGGTAAAGAAATATCCCCAAATAGAGGAAAGTTTGAGTAGGGCAAAATGGAGCCTGTGTACTAAAGACACAGAGTAGCGAAGGTCATGGTGTGGGAGTGTGTTGCAGAGAAGTATTTATAAAAGGGCAGTGTGCTTGGCTAAACCAGATATTTCTGCAGAAGGTGATCACCAACACTCCCTAGCCCCTGTTTATGCATGTGAGTGACTGCAGGGTGGGGCCACTAAAGGACGACTCCTACTCTGTGACATGATGGCCTTCCATGAGTGGCTATGAGGAGTGACAAAACCATCTGTGGTTTATTTTCCACGAATTATTTTCCTTCCTCAGTAAAGACAGTATTTGACATAAGAAGGCTTTTTGTGTTGATATGAATGCTAAGTAAAATGTAAGAAAATAATTTAATGGATTACTAGTATGCTAAAATTATAGGACAGCATCAAGCAGGGAGGAAGAGCAGGAAGAAAAGATTAACATTAAACAGATACATGAGGTGGGAGGGAAAGGGAGAGAAAAGGGAAATTGCATGGTAATGGAGGGAGACCCGCATGGTTATGCAAAATTACATATAAGAGGTTGTGAGGGGAATGGGAAAATAAACAAGGAGAGAAATGAATTACAGTAGATGGGGTAGAGAGAGAAGATGGGAGGGGAGGGGAGGGGAGATAGTAGAGGATAGGAAAGGTAGCAGAATACAACAGTTACTAATAGGGCATTATGTAAAAATGTGGATGTGTAACCGATGTGATTCTGCAATCTGTATTTGGGGTAAAATTGGGAGTTCATAACCCACTTGAATCAAATGTATGAAATATGATATGTCAAGAGCTTTGTAATGTTTTGAACAACCAATAAAAAAAAATTTACCTATTTATTTCTTAGGAAACTAACATAGCAATAACATGGATCTACTGCAGACCCAATAAATACTTACATAGCGTTTTTGATGGGGTCTTCAATAAAACCTGAATTATAACAAATTGCCAACGGCTTGGTAGTTAGTACACGCTTGACCAGACTCATCTTCAGAGATCTCATTTGCAAAGTCAGGTTGCTGCAGAAAGCTGAGGGGGGTAAAAATATATTAGTGACATCATATTAAGATATCCATAGAGTTGTTCATTCTTTGCTGAATGGATTATATTCAAATGTCATTTTTGTAAATTTGATAGCTGTAGCAGATTTGTGGCAATGTGACCATTATTGGGTTGAGAGTGCTCTGAGACTCTGCCAGACATTTCTTCTTTAGAGGACCAAAAAGGGAGACATTTAAGATGAAAATATTTTTAAATAAGTGTTCTGTTATTGATCATTCTGGAGGAAGAGGTTAAAATTCCATTATTTTGAAGAACACCTGGGCCAAACCAGTGGTACG